AAAAAAAAAAAAAAAAAAAAGAAAGAATATATGCATAATATAATATATCCTAGGCCTTATATATAAAGAATATCTATCTATCTACCTATCTATCTATCTATATCCTTAATGAATAGTTTCTGAGTGAATGAAAACTGGAAATCAGGGCTGGGGATATAGCTTAGCAGTGTAGCACCTACATAGTAAGCACAAAGTTGTGAGTTTGAGTACCAGGACAAACAGAAGGAAGGAAGGAAGGAAGGAAGGAAGGAAGGAAGGAAGGAAGGAAGGAAGGAAGGAAGGAGAGACAGAGACAGAGACAGAGATAGAGACAGAAAGAAAAGGAAGGAAGGAAGGAAGGAAGGAAGGAAGGAAGGAAGGAAGGAAGGAAGGAAGGAAGAAGAAAACTGGAAGCCAGCTTCTCTGAGGCACGCAATTTCAGGGCTGTTCGCTCCTCCGGTGAGCCCCTGCTTTCATTTATAAACTTTTAAGATCTCCTCCCTTCCGTTAGCAGTGTCTTCCAACAAGAAACTAAGTCCGTAGAGCTGCTGGAAAATTTTTTTGCAAATTCATGTCTTTAATCTTTTAAAGCAGACTTTCTCAAACCCAACACTATTAACATTTTAGGCTGGCTAATTCTTTGTTGTGGGGGAAATATCCTGTTCATTTAGGGTACTTAGTAGCATCTGGGACCCCTACCTACTGTCCCTGGTAATGCCCACTCTCAAGAAGTCTCTAGATTTGGGGGCCAGAGAGACAGCTCAGTGGCATAAGCGCCTGCCTGGGAAGTGCAAGGCCCCCCTGGATTCAATCCCTGGTACAAATAAAATAAAATAAAATAAAATTCTCTAGGTTTTGTCCTAGGCCTGCAAGCTCATGCCTAGTCCAGATTCACTGTTTTGAAGTGTGAACGTTTACATGTTTTTGTCCTGCAGAAGAATTGCATTTGGCAATCTGGGTTGTTGAGTGATGCCTGGGATACAAGAGAATTTTACCAACCCAGTTGGATCAAAACCGTGCCCATTTCGATCTTGTTTCAGTAGCACTCCCTGTGTGTCCTTTGAAAAGGCCATTAGTGATGGTCTAATTCAGGGCAATAGTCTGATCTTGGAAATTCGACTCCCATGGACTGACCTAGAAGGATGAAGGAAAGGGGTGGTGTTTCTGAGGAAACTGATGCCTCATAGACCCCCACGGGAATTGGCAGTCCCTTGCCACTTTTCCAGGGGCATGTCCCAGGGGACAATAAAAGAGAGACAAACAACTCATTCTGGCATGCTTTTCGGGATCTCTCACTCCAAACAAGAAAGTCTGAGAGGCCTGGTAAAAATAAATATGGCTTAGGACTCCTGGCACAAGAGCAGCTTCTGACAGCCAAGACTGAACTCACCCTAGGGGGTGACCCAGGCAGGGACTATGCGTGAAGTTAGCTTCTACCCATTGATATTCCCAGTGCCTCACAGCGGCCTGAGCAGCTCTGCACTTCAGCACAGGCTGAGCCAAGGGGAAGACTGGGAACCACATGGAAAAGCCAGTCTCTCGCGCCTGAGTCAGACAGGGACAGTCAGCCTCCTTCTTCCTCTTGGATCCCAGAGCAACAACATAGATCATGCCTCTGGAAGGAACCTGTCCTCTGCACACAGAGTGGAAACTGTTTATAAATTCTTAATCCTCTGACACTGAAAGTCTGGGGACCGCCTGTCTTGGATTTTTTAGAACAAATGTATTCATTACACCACATGTCCCTAGTTTTCATCTGGAACAAAATGTGGTCTTCAGGATCATGAGATCTTTCTCAACACAATTAAAAGTAAGTGTGACTCTCTCCTTTAATCTCAGTACTCAGGAGGCTGAGGCAGGAAAATGGAGGCCAGCTTGGGCTATACAGTGAGTCCAAGACCAACCTGAACTACAGGCTGAGACCCTGTCTCAAAAATAAAATAAAAGCTGGGGAGATGGCTCAGTGGAATAAGTGCTTCCCTAGCAAGCGCGAGGGTTTGAGTTCAATCCCCGGTTCCACCAAAAAAAAAAAAAAAAAAAAAAAAAAAGTATATAAGCAAAAATAAAATAAAAATAAAACTAGGCATGATGCCTCACACCTGTAATCCCAGTACTTGGAAGGCTGAGGCATAAGGATTGTCATGAGTTCAAGGCCAGCCTGAGTTACATAGTGAATGTGAACTACACAGGAAAAGCCTTATCTCAAAAAAAACCAAAAAACAAAACAAAAAAAAAACCCCAAAGCCAAGGGCCCGGGATATAGCTCAGTGGCACGGTGTTTGCCTGGCAAGCGCAAGGTTCTGAGTTTGACTTCCAGTACCAAAATAAAGATATATATATATATATATATCTGTGCTTGAGACCAATCAAGGTCTCATTAGAAGGGGCGGAGTTGAGAGCTGAGAAATAATTCTCTACTTTTACCTTTTTCCGCTGTTGGATTTTAGACTAAAGGGAACCGAAGGAGGTCTAACAGGTGGACCATCCTTCCCAAGCGCTCAGATCACGTAAACCTCACCTGACTCTACTGCCCCCTTCGGTCAGTAGGAAGAACTACACACCTTGAAAATGCCTCTGTATTAGTTGCCATGGTGATGCTCATTCAACCACATTGCCTCTGAGTAAAAATTTCGGGCAAAACAGTATAGATAAATACCAAGAAAGGGTTGACACCACTTTTTTTTGTAGTTGTCGTCGTAGTAGCTGTCATAAAGTACACTTAATGTTAGCTTTAGCCAAAGATGGTAAGTTGAAGCGAAAAGTTGAAAACAAGCAAGGTTGAGATGTCAACCAATCCATCTGGAGAAATCGTCCCGCTCTGGAGTGCACCAAATTACCTTCCCCTCAGCGAACTTGGGGCATTTGAGTCTTTATGGCTCTATATATTTACTGGTGAGAGGTAAGTGATTCACAGAGAAATTCACAGACCATATCTACTCGAAAGGAAAAAGTCATCCTCGGGGCCTTAAAAGTAGGGGAATTCGCAAAAGTAACAAAACAAAATCCAACGTAGGAAGCCGAAAGGAGGCAAAATGAACTCGTGTTCCTAGGATGCGCTGGGAGGGCGCTAGGCCCCCAGGATAGGACGAGAGAGGGGTTTACAATTATGTGCAGTCACCCAAACCTTAAATACCGCTGGAAGGCCCTGCCAACGGAAGCAGGGAGGAGGCCGAGGCCTGGGGAGCTGGGCTGCGAAGAAGAACTTACTTCCTCGCCCCCTCCGCTTCCTCGCCAGGATCAGAAAGTCAAAGAAGGTGAAGAGGCTAACGATGCTGATTTACAGAGACAGCGACAGCGAAGAGGAACTAAGTCTGGCGGGACCAAATCTGGACGTCTGAGCGAGGGCGACTGGACCCAGACAGGCACCTCAGGAAATTAATAGATGAAAAAGAGAGGTCGCGGAATTATTTAGCCCTCGAACCAGACGGCCTAGGCCGGGGGAGGGGCGGCGGAGCAAGAAGAAAATCTCAGAAAAGAAATTTTGACAGCGAGAACGCTGGTTGAGATACAGCTCGGCAGGCCTCCTGATGTCCCTTGTTTAATGTCAATAAAGGCCGGGAGGATTAGGCAGTAGCAGGCCCTGCGTATTTCGAGACATCAATAAAGTCTGGCCATGGGGCCTGGAGGACCCCCCCACCCCCCACCCCCCACCCCGGTCACGTCCAGGCGCCTTGGGTCAGCGTGGTTGTTGCTCCCTGGCGGGGGCCTCAGTGCACCGGGTCTGAGAGTAGCCACTAGGTTATATTTTTGAAGTCAGGAACATTTGAGCTGCGGTAATGGGGACAGAGCAGGGGCTCTCTGGAAGGCCAGGAATGTGGGGGCGGCCTCGGGAGCTGCGGGGCAGCGCAGCAGGCGCGCGAGGGTGGGGTTCGGGCCGGGGGCGGGGCCG